CCAAATCCCCTCACACTTCGCCCCCACGGCACCACCCATGGGCAGTATGTATGTACTCACTTGCCAATTGCTGACTCTGCAACAACAGCTGTGCCAAAAGCTGCGTATCGAAGGCCGACGACTGAACGGTGTTCTGGTACTCATCCTCGCTACTGCTGTAGCCATGGTGGCTGTGCCATTCGGCCGAGCGCTGACGTCGCATCTGGTCGCCGCCGCCGCCGCCGAAGTAGTACTCGCTGGCACTGCCCCCGCGCTTGCGGCCAATTGTGCCCGAATGGCTGGACATGCTGCCAATGCTGGTGTTAGTCTGCTGCTTAATGCTGCGGTATGTGTAACTACCGTGCCACTGGTGTGTCCTTAACTGCCCTCTCTGATTTAAATACGTTTACTGCGCGGCAACTGGAAATGACTAAATTTGATTTATATCTCTGTCATTCCACATTTGCTCCAACTGACCACAGCCGTTGCCATATTCTCGTCCACTTTTCCCTGCGCTCTTCTCCGTCTCCGTCTCTGTGGTGTCGCTTGCCACGTGGCGGAGCTGGAAAGATAAGATAGGAGAAACGAACAGTTAATATGGGCAGGAGCAGTGTAAATAATACTTGTATTCGTAAATGGCACAGAGATATCAAGAGATTTATTTCAGCAATGTTTCAAACTTCTTCATTTAACTGTATCATAATATAATTTGGAATTTGCTTGCATTAATCCCGCGATCCCGAAAAATTTTAAATATAGAATGAATAGTAAGAACTTGTTTATGAATTTGAAGTATGATTTTTGTAAAAGGCCGTTTTGCCCATGATAAAAATATAAATAGTAAGGCAGAACCGCTGAGAGGAACTTTTCTTGATGTTTCCAAGCAATTTAATTTTAAAATTTATTCACAAACTCACACACACATTTTCATTTTCAATCTCAATTTTGAACATTTTAAGGGCCTTATTCTGTATTCGTCTGCAGACGACAACCTCTCTGATTGCGATTGTAAACTCTATCGGTCGGCTTCGTCTTGCTTTTCATACATTACGTTGCAATGGTCTCGGTTGCGTTTAAACCGGTTAAAATGATGCCGCCGGACTAATTTTTGAAGCATTCCTCTGCAGACGAATCGTTCGTGTTGCCTATCGTTCGTGATACAGAATAAGGCTGTAAGTTTTGTTATTTTAAATTTTGTATGGTTTTAAACAAGGCGAATTCATATAAGGTGGTATCGTTTCAACAAATACAACAATTACTTGTATTTCGCTTTTGCTTTTAGCGGGTCATTGTCAAATTTCAGCAATTCATCTCTGAATGAAAAAGGGCGACAGAAAAAGCGAACACTCTCACGTTTTCACTCACTCACTAGCAAAATATAAAATTTTGACAATCAAACGCTACTCACAGCTGATTAAACTACACCACCTTATATAAATTCGTCTTGGTTTTAAAATGCTGGCAAACTTGGCAAAAAAATCATGGCCGGCGAATTGAGAGAACGGCTCCACCTTCCTATATTTTTATCATGGTGTCAAAACCAATTAACAAAAAACTTGAAACTGTACTTTTAAAATTGCAGCGTGGGCCTTTTTTTGTAGAAGATTTAAATGAATGTACTCATAGCGTCGCTAAAATAAACGAAACAGACAGTTTTAAGGAAAAGTTGCATACGTTTTTAAATCAATCTACCCAAACTTCCTCAATTCGGAAAACTTATAATTTATCCGAGGTAAGGGAGGAGCCATTGCCCTCACATGGCTTATGACGTTACGTTTTGACATAAAATTAAATTAAATCATATAGCGTTGACAGTCACTTTTTTATAAAATCATTTTGTCGTATGTAACATTTTCACGTTAAATGCTGGCCAGCTGTACTACAAATCACACACACACACAGCAAGTAAGAAAAAAGCTGAAATTGTTGAAGTTATTTTTTGCTCGTATGCAAAAAATTTATTCTAATACACCTGAGATATAAATTAATAAATAAAAATCAACAAAATATTAAACAATTTGTCAATAATAGTTGCCTTAGCACATGCGACTATCCATTGAATAGGATTGGTGTGATTTTGTCGTATGTACCATACAGTTTGTCACATAGGACAATATTTTAACAAGTAATCAATTCCATCAAACTGTATGAACATTTTTTCATATGTGAAAATTTTCGTCACATAAAACAAAATGTTAACCGAGTGGCTTGCGAACTTGCAAATACGATAAAATTTTACTCACTATCTCGGTAACTAAAGGAGATATCCAAAAACTGATAACACCAATCGACAGATCTTATTTAAAAAAATAAAACTGCATCTTTTTTAATAAAAATTGTCAAAATTATGAATTTAAAAAATGTATTATTTTAAAATTTGCCTGTATTAATAAATATGCGATTTTTACAATCAGTTCATATTCATAAAAGTTACATCTCAGGGTGACTAGGAAAAGAAATTTTAAAAATATATATTATAAATATCAAGTTCTTGTGTGCTGGAAAAGAACTTATTTCTAAAACTATAAATTCATTACAAATAGCGCTTTCTTTTCTCGAATAATGTTTTCGTATTCTTTTCTCAGTATCTTCACATTCATATTGCGTGCTCTTTCTTCAAAATGTTGCACTCTGATAATATTGCCATATAAAAAGGTGACATTGTTTTCGGGAAAAGAAAACGCCATAAGTAACTATAGACTCTATTTGGCTTACTAATTAAAAGCTCCAAGGATCAAGAAAGAGCATTTCACTTTTTATGAAATACATATACAAACATAGAAGGCAAAATATTTAAATTCACTTCCGAATCCGACGCCCCTTTCGAAGCTTTGTTGTGTGTGTGTGCGTGTGTGTGTATTTGCTCTCGTGGCACAACACAGGTGGCACGAATGGCAACAGCTCGCCTGTGTCCGAAATTAAAATGAATATTAATTTTTTAGCAAGGATATGCCGACAGGCGACAGGCAGACCAACCTGAACAGGAGTAGCACTTAGCACTTAAGTGGTCGCTTTTAATTTGAGCAGTCCATGCTGTACATAGACGCCCACCATAGCCGCCCAGGATGTTAGAAGCTGGTCGGTGTGCCGAAAGAGCTCACAAGGTAAGTGTTTGATTTTTGCAGAGGTTGGGGCATACAACGATTTGAACATTTTGTATTATTGCTGAATATAAATATTGAGTTGTTAAAATTTATGGCCATCGCTGAAGGTTAATTTTGGATGTGGTCAATTCATCAATTCGCAGCTGTGAATGATTGATATTTCTGACAAATTTCATGAAACTTGAACAGTTATCGCAGCTTGTAAATTATTTGAAGCCTCAATACTCGAGGGGCTTATGTTGGTTAGTGGATTTTATTTTTAGGATGCTGAGGAAAAACATATTCTTACAAACCTTATACCAAATTGTTTAAGATATGTGAGGCCAATAAAGTTTCTGTATTTTAAATTGCATACACAAACATATCTGACTTAGCGAATCAAATTTATTTTAATTTTCTGCGTTTTTTTTTTT